GATTGTTGGGGGCAATATGCTGACTCTGTAAACCGCTTAGAGAGGGCTGAAAGCCCTATGAAGCGGTATATAAGTCTAACTGCTATTGCTATTTGTCGAATCTGTCTTAGCAGTAGAATATCCTTTATCTAAGCAAGCAGAGTTTTCAGAAAAATATCATTGTTGCTGTGTATTTTTTTAAAAAACGATTCCATGAATTGTACCTGACTTTCATTACAAACACTGCTACTCACAAAAATTCAATTTCTTTACAAAATGTTCTTTTCTGCAGTCTTCTTATTTTTATTTGTTGCTCTCTAGTGAATGCTCTTTATTTTATTTTTATTATTATTTTTTTGCCTGTTTTCTATATAAATTGGGGGAGAAGGAGGAGATAGTGCGGTTCGGTGATCAAAATATTCCTGGTAGAACTTACAGTAACAAAAGCAAAATTCCAAGTGATGAAACTTACACCGACACAGCATAGGTTGGATTGGTAATAAATTGGAAAGCATGCAGTAGAAACATATGGGTAACTTCCTATTACCTGAAATTGTAGGATAGCAAATTGGGTAGTCGTCTCTCTCCCGTTGAATAGGGAAGAAAAAAAGGAAATGCTAGTTTGCACAGGCTGCCCTATTCCTTTGGGGTTTTGTTCGATGTTAATTTTTCCCTCCTCTTCCTCACCTCTTGCATGCATTGTTTTAGGGATTGTGCATGTTAGCTTTGCTAGAACATGTCACTAATTCAGTCACTGTAGGCACCCAGTGTGCCTGGATCGTAGACTAACGGCTTCAAGGAACAGCAGGAGTTCTTGACAATTGTCTGAACTCTAGAAACAGTCACTGATAATTTGATTCACTGCTCAGGTCTCACTTTGCTGTGCAGATTATCAGGGATAGGAATACTCGGTCATAAGATTCTTCTTTGCTATAGATTTGTAAGCCTTTCCTATTTCTTTCATGCCTGGGATTCTTTGTGTGATCTCTCTGTTGTCTCTCAGGAATGCTTTATTGCTGTTATTTTACCCTCATCTCTTAGGCAGCCCTCCCCCGCCCTAGTTTTCCCAGCTGGGTGCTGTTGTGGGAAGTAATGCCAAGAAATATCACTGCTTACCTTCAGATACTGAGATTTTGTATGCTTTTCCTCACTGTAATCCTTAACTTTCTTACTTAGGAACATACATTTCCTTTCATAGGTTTGATAGAAGCTTATTTTCATATGGTGACTGCCAATGGTGGGATTCAAAAAATGTTTACTACTGGTTCTATGGGCAGGGCAGGGGAAGGATAATGCAAAATCCCCATTCCCTCCCCACTCCTGGGGGAAGGTTACTGCAAANATTTGTCTGTCTTTTCGTTTTTTGTATTTCCCCTTTCCCCTATTTAGTTTGTTAGCCGCCCTGAGTCCCCTCAGGGAATAGGGCGGCATACAAGTGCAATAAAACTAAACTAAACTAAACTTCGCTCCAGTTTGGTAACATTGAAGCTCCAAGATGGCTTCAGCCAGGTTTGACAAACTGCTTCATTTAACAACCAAGTTACTGATCCTAACTGTGGTCGCTGAACAAGGACTTCCTGCATTGAACTAGTGTATATCATACAGGCCTGCAAATGAATCAGTAGCAAGCCACTCTTGTGGCTCAGTTGTTGCTAGAAGAAAATGTGTACTTAATTCTCTTTAGCAGTCTAATGAATAATCAATCTCCTGTGGAATAGATTATCTTGTGAAGTGATATGTTCCCCATGAGAACACTTTAAACAAAACTTGAAATGCTTGAACAATCTTGCACCAAGTAGGATTGCACCCGATGACCTCTTAGACCACGTCCAATTCTATGATTCTTTAACGCAATTCCTGAAGCACAGATCCATCAAACCAGCAGAGGACTTAAACATCTATATATGAAACATCACAGATACAGATTCAGTTATTACTTAGAATGAATTATAGTGACCATAAGCATGGTCTGTGTAAGAATTAATAGTGTGAGGTATTAGCATGATGAAGGTCATAACCTATTTCGGCAGAAAGATTAGCCATATTAAGTAGTCGTTTGCATTTCAAAATATTTCATCTGACTTTTGCATATGTTTATAGTGTCCCATACATATAAAACAAACATATCACTTTAAGACAAAATGCAAATAATTAGAATTGCAAAATGCAACATGAGTAAATAAACAAATAGCTGAATCTGCAAACTTTATTAGTAGTTGCAAGCACAAATATAGAATAGAGCAGATAAAGCGTAGGATTGAAATAGATCTGACTACTAAGCTGTTCCATTTCATGCAATATATTCTCTCATGGACAACTTTCCC